AGGTCTCATATCCAGACGTCCCCAGGAAATCCCCAAGATCCCCAGGCATAACACCATTTGTCTCTAGAAGATCCATCGAAACCCACTGTGTCCGGAGGTATGACCTTTTTTTTTAAATGGCACCCTCCCAAAAGATACCCCAAACTGTGAAAAACTCCCAGATTTTGCAGGGTCGACACGCCCTGAGCCTCTAAAGAATCAAAACACCAGCTCAGAAAAAAACAGTGTTTTGGCAGGACCTGATTCTTTAAGGACACCCTTCCCTGTGTCAGGGGGCAGGACCTGATTCTTTAGTGGCACCCTCCCCAAAATATCCCAAGTTGTAGGGTCGACAGGCCTGAGCCTCTAAAGAATCAAAACACCAGCTCGAACCCAGTCCAGGTCTCATATCCAGACGCCCCCAGAAGATCCCCAGGCATAGCACCAGTTGTCTTTAGAAGATCCATCAAATCTCATCGTGTCCGGAGGCAGGACTTCATTCTGTAATGGCACCATCCACCAAAGAACCGGACACCCGGGTCAAAGACTGAATGCAAAGGGGGATATGTTGTTTACAATCAATTTTGATCAAGCCAGAAAAATGAAACAAGAGGAGGCAGCCAAAGACAACGCTTTGGCAGAAGCTTCTGCCATGACAAAAACAGAAGCCGCTAATCTGGCATGGGCAAAAGAAGGGCAAATTTCATCTCCGGTGTGCAAAGGAATCATTTGGGTACGTTTGGTGTTTTTTATGTTTGTTGATGTCCACATGTTCAACGTGGACGCCCTATTTTTTCGAGGTTTACTTTTGTATTTGTTTTTTTGGTGTATTTTTTGTATTTGTTGTAGTTGGTTGCCTGGGCCATGATTTTTTAGATGGTCTTAGACCCCCTTGCATCCTAGGTAGGCATTCTTTAGATGTGCCATTTCAGTAGTGCAAGGTGGACCTCCGTTTTTTGTCTAAAGAATGCTGGAGTCCATGTGAGCAGGATAAAACCAAGGAGAATTGTAAATGCAAGAATTTGTGTTAAAACACCTTCCAGAGTTGAAGAATGTTAAAGATGTGCTTTCAAAATTCGCCTAAAGATGCCTAATAAATTCTCATAACCCTAATATGGACACAAATAAATAAGTTTATATGTTCTCATATGATTGCATGCGCATCTTATTGATGATGCTTGACTGCGCCGTCGTCCATTCGACTGCAACTTGGGTATCCAATCCTTTAAAGGGGCACCCCTTCGTGTGCAACTTGGGTCTCCAATCCTTTAATGGGACATGTGTGGCTACTGTGTGCAATCTTGGTTCATTGGGGTTAGATTCTTTAAGGCTGAAATTTGTTCTGGTTCGCATTCTTTAAGAGGCTACCAGTGGTCCCTTAAAGATTCAGGGGTCAGCCTGGGAACCCGAATTGCAAGGGGGATTTATATGTATCTAAAACCTTAAGGCTTACCCTGCCCCAGAAAAGTGCTTATGCGGAAAACCAAGCTATAAGTTCACCCAGCTATCGTTCGGGGGCCTCATCTTGTAGCGTTTTTCTGCTTTTTGGGTATCCAGATTTCCGCACCCAAAACTAGAATTTGTCTGCTGGATTCTCTATTTTTGACCCATACCTTGTCATCTCCATTACTGATCATGCCATAATGTGGGATCCACAAAGCACCATGCCCGATTGGGTGTGTGAAATAGGGTACTCTATGACTAGGATCATTTAGCCATCAAATGGTTCTTATGGTCGGTCCCTTTTTTTAAGTAGCACAGTTTAATGGAAAGAATCCATGGAAATAACCCCTGGCTTGCACCAGTATTACGCTACATCCATTGACCCCACATCATGACCACCATCCGGCGCCTTCCAATGCATGGAATATGGACGGATATGTGGGGCGAATGATGCGGCGCCCTTTTTTGGACGAACACGTGGACTGCTGTGCAAAAGTAGATTTGTTGGTGGTTTGTCGTCTTTGCTGGGTAAAAGGTCTTAGATTAGTGGGTTGGTTTTTGGCAGTAGATGAACCTCAAATAAACCTCAATAAACCTAGATTTACATGAACAAAACACAAGTTTATCGCTCCTTTCCTGCGGAAACCATTGGCCGTGGCTTTCCATATCTATCTTGGGTAGCCTCAGGGTAGTGTGGAAAACCCAATAATTAACTTTCCTTCTTGGACTTATTCGCGATGGCTCTATCGCCCTTTGTGTGGTAAATTTTGTTATAGTATGGGTTTACAGTTTACCTTATCATGTTCGAATTAGACCTGTCAGCTAACTTGAAGCTGTCAGTTTGTGAAGGGTTCCCAAGTGGATTTGGATGTGTGGAAAAAAACTTGCGGAATGGTTGTTGCTTAACTGTAGATATTGTTTATATACACTACCATATCAGGGGTTTTATATTTACACATCCAACTATAGTTAACTGGATAATATCTACAGTTAAACAACATCAACCAAAAGAATTGTTTGATATTGTTTAACTGTAGAACGTTGCGAGATATCCAGCATCGGCAACCTGGGACTGATAAATTCAGATGATTTCTGTTATGTTTATATATCTGGGTAGAATATATATATATACATATATATATATATAATATTTATGTTATGTTTATAAATATGTTTCAGAACTTGTCATGTTATATTCAGATGATTTCAGATATGTATATATATATATAATATCTGGGTAGATTTCATCACGACCTCACTGTTCTCCCGAGCCCTTTTTTATTAGAGGTTAGATTGCGGGGAATCATCCCATGATGAAGCCGAGCTTTTCAGATGAGTGAATTACTATAAATATGTATATATATATACATAAATATGTATATATGGCGTTTTCTTAAAATGGGGATCCCCAACACCATAGGTTTCAATACTGAAATCGTCAATTTCTGGGTGATTAAAATGGGTACCCCAATTTGGAAAGCCCCCCATATATATATATGTATAATGAATATATTATGTGATAGTGATATATATATACACACACATTACACCAACGTTTTGAAATACTCGGAAATTGACAATATCTTGCTCATCGAGCGGCCGATAGACATCCATGGGTTTTCCACGTGGCCCTGAAGGAACCAAGTCATCCCAGCTGGCCGATAAACGAGTTGGAAAACTCCATCTTTGATCCCTGAAAGGACGATGACTGGTTGGCGGTGACTGGAACATTTTCCATTCACTTGGGAATCATGGATTATAGTGGTTTAATGGATTTTTCCATGGATTTTCCCATCATATTTTGAATTTCATAATCCCAACTGACGAACTCCATCATTTTTCAGAGGGGTGGGTTGAAACCACCAACCAGATGATGTTCTCAATAGTCTTGCTAGTCTTGCTGAGTCTTGATGAGTCTCCTGGATCGGACTAGTTTATTTGCCGTGACTTTGCCGAAGTCTGCGTGGTCGTGGATATGCCCCATGTTTCTGCTGACCTGCTGATGGAAGTTGTACAAAGAAGCGTATGGCGTGAAACAGCAGTTGCCCCACCGCCAAACGATTGGGGGGAAACCATGGAAAACGGACTGATGATGGCTGGGTTAATACACGGCAGTCACCGTGGTATTTGCCATAAAAAAGGGGCCCAAACAGATGGCGTTTCTGCCGCAGATCAGTGGATTGACTTGGTGCAACAAGGGAGTGTTCATGACTTGACCGATCCAAGATCCACTTCTGAATGGTTTCCTCTACCGAGCAGCGTTGAAAATTGTGTTAAGGCAATATCCATATCTTTTATTTTCCCATTAAGCTGGCGAAATTTCATTTGAGTGACGCCCCTATGAGCTGTGATGGAAAAAAAACCATGTTGGTTATTCAACGGGGAATCAACATTGATTTTTAGCAATTTTCAACTCTGAAACATATGGAGCTGTCATTGGAATATAGTATGTTTGGTTGATGATTAGTTCGGGGGTTATACTACCCTTCATCTATTGGGGATTATCATAGTCCATTAACCGGGAATCCCGTTCTTCACCATTAGAATGGAAAGCCAGAGGATTTTGAAAACTACTCATATCATTCATCTATTTATTGCAATTCGTTCAGACCAAATCTGGTTGGTCTGGTTGGTGGTTTGGAACATGAATTTTATTCCATATATTGGGATAAATCCTTCCCAACTAACTTTCATATTTTTCAGAGGGGTGGCTCAACCACCAACCAGAAATATTTGGTCCGTACAACTATCATCGATCGATGGCTGTGTTTGGTCTTGTTTTGGTAGCTTAACGGTTACCGCTTAACTTGATAGAAACCATCTTAAGAAAAGACCCAGCGGTTCACAGTAACGGTCCTATCACAATGTCGTTCACATCTTGGTGCCATCCATCTGGGTACATTTCATCACGACCGAACCCTGTTCTCCCGAGCCCTGGAATCATGGTTAGATTGCGGGGAATCATCCCCTTTTATGGGCCGCAAGATTCAGGTTAGTGAAATATGATAATTTACCCAGATCCATGAAACAGATGCACTGATGTATTGAATACCAGCAGACATACAAGACAGCCAGCTTGCCGTATTTGTACTTGATCTTTTTGCCATTTTCATGGGAATGTATACTATTATAAACGAACCAGTAAAAAAAACTACACACGCTCTTCAGGCTAAGATCAACCATGCTTAGATCAGATGCCTTTTCCAATTTGCTGCAGCTATTTCTCAATAAAGACACCTCTTCGGTGTTTGCGAAGTTCCCGTGTTCACGAAGTCCGCGACTTTGCGATGATGCGCCAGGCTCATTTTTCGGTAGTGCCGTGGGGGATAAACTCCACAAGCCGAACATTGCTATGAAATCCCATGAAATCCCATGAAATCCTCTTAAAATCCCATGAAATCCCATGAAATCCTCTTAAAATCCCATGAAATCCCATGAAATCCTCTTAAAATCCCATGAAATCCCATGAAATCCTCTTAAAATCCCATGAAATCCCATGAAATCCTCTTAAAATCCTCTTAAAATCCCCATTCAATGGCGATTTGGATGGTGTACCGTGTACTGGTTTCATCCAGGTGATGTGCTTCTGCCTTGGCCTTGTGGAGCTAACGGTGGCCTTGCGTCCCAACATGGATAGCAACATCACGGACGAAGACGGAGGCGGAGAGAGCTGATCATAAACCATCCATTTGGGGCGCTCCTTGAATCTAACTGAGGGTCTTTTTTTGTACCCATTTACCCATTTATAATCCATACCCAGACATTAACTATATGGGGGTTTCCATAGTCATGAGGTTACAACAATAGTAAATCTGGGCATATTTTGACGACCTCACTGCGACCTCACTGGAATCATGGTTAGTAAGGGGAATCATCCTAAAATGGCCTTATTTCAGGTTAGCAAAATATGATAATTTTCTCAGATAAATCACCCATTTGGGAATGGTTTATATGGTTTATACCACCGCAAAAATACTGATTTGGGGGTTTCCATAGTCATGAGGGTACCCCAATAGCTCGATGGTTTATACCACCATTTTAGGAAACAATCCATTTGGGAATGGTAAAACTACCTACCACCTCTAAACATGGTGAAATTGGGGATGGTGTACCAATATTGATGGTTTATTACTTGATAACATACATTTAGGTGGTATACCAAACATCTATTTGATGCTTTATCGCATTGTTGCACCAATATTAGTTTAGAGAACAATAGATAACACTCATATGCTGATAATTCTGAGTTATCCAATATTACGCGCAAGTAGATGCTGCGAATTTAGACAGCTTTCAGGAAAAGTCAGCCATTTTCAGATAATTCTGCTGAAGTGTTTTTTTTTCAGCAGAATGAGATAACTTAAGATAACTGGCTGATCACTTAGCTATATCATAACATATTTTTTCAGACGTCCTGTTTTGACCAAAGTTGGATGTGGATGTTGAACCAGAAATGGATCTTACAACATCCAACAACTGAAGACTTTAGGGATGTTCGTCCAGCAGAAATTGGGTTTTCAGGGGTTTTAGTCAACACAAGACTTGCTTTTTGACGAAAATGGGGTGTTGTTTGAAACATTTGTATTTTTCTTATGATGTCTTTTGCAGCTGTTCTGAAGTGTTTGCATGTTCCTCTTGCATGTTCATTTTGCATATTCTTTTTGCAGTGTTGCCGTTTTCAAACATATATTTATATTTGCATTTTCCTATATATATAATAATAATATATATGTAACATGTATGTTTGCATGTGTTAATATATGTTCATATTGTCTTCCATTTTCATTGCATTTGTGTGTATTCATATACAATCTCGATATGTTGTTCCCCCCAGCATGGAGGGTACTCCAGTCTAAACCTCTCCAGTCAAAAGTAGCATTTCGTCCTAATCATCGATCTGGATATTGATCATCTTGTCATGATCCCAATCGAAAAGTTGTCATGAAAATCCCCATGATTTATAGCTAGATGACTAGTCAATATCTTATTCATAGTCAGCAAGAATAAACCAATATTAGGGATATGCTATTAGGATCTATTAGGGATATTAGGGATATGCTATTGATAATCAACCTATTGATATCCAATTATCATAGTCAATATTATGGATATGCCATTGATAATCATTTAATAGCTAGATTTATTATTTAATAGTCATGACTAAACCAATATTATGGATATGCCATTATGATCCATTATTGAAAAATCGACCTATTTTTCATAGCCCTCAATCCTCCTAAAATCCTGTCTTCAAGCGCTCGATCCTGAAGGTCCTTGTAAGGATCGTTTAAAGGCAGACCCAGGAGACGGCTGTGATCTAGCCCTGTTTCTTTGATGGTGTTTTTTTGGGTTAATCTTGTAAATTAACTATGGAAAACATAACTATGGAAAATCACCATTATTTCAATGGGTTTATTGTGATCTATCCTGTAAATTAACATAACTATGGAAATTCACCATTTTTTCAATGGGTAAATCAACTATACATGGTCATTTTCAATAGCTATGTCAAATTACCAAAGGGTACCTATCCTGTAAATTAGAATACTGTGGATGGAAGAAATCCTGCACCAGTTGATAGGTGGTTTATCCCATTATTTATTGTGTTTCAACCATCGAAGGTGGTTCAGGATTTCTTCCACCCACCATAGCTATTGAACATGGCCCATTTATTGATTTTACACTGTCTGCTTTTTTTTAAATGGACATTTCCATAGCTCTGTTAGTTTACCAGAGGGTATACTATCCTTTCATAGATGTTCAAAGCATCAAACATATTTGAGGTTATCTTTTATATATGATGGTTGGTTGATGATCAGTTCAGGGGTCATACTACCTTTGATCTTAATTGGGGATTATCATGATCCATGAACTGGGAAATCCATTCTTAACAAGTGGCACTAATGTCATTGGTGAAGCTTGGATCTTGGATACGTACTTACACAATGTCATATTACATATACATATGTGGAATAATAGTTAACCCTTTTCTATGAATTGGGATATATACATACGTGATATCTATAGTAGGCATATCTGTGTATATATAGATATACGTATATACATATCTAAACATGTGCCATAAATATATATATATATGTCACATGCATATTTGAGCCGAATCTTTCCCGAAACAACGTTGGGCTGGAGACTTCCTCGCAAGTGGCGGTGCTTTGTTATCGGCAGCCTTTCGTCTAATGGATTGGTTTCGTTGGGAACATGGACACCGGAAACCCCCTATATTTGATGGTAGAAACATGTGGGGGTTTCCTAAAATTGTTGGTTTATAATGGAACATCCTATTCAAGTGGATGGTAAAAAAAAGGTTTCCAATTAAGATTTCCCCAACAAAACCAATCCATTGACGAAAAAACAATGACAAAACGTCTCCAAATTCGCGCGACTCATCCTGTCTTTGCACGGTCTCGAGCTGTGACAGTAAAAAACTAATGTGCTCTGCCCATGGGGCCCATACCACATAGATCACGATGAACCACATGGATTATTACTGCTATGTACTGCTATAAAGTTGGTTTTGCAGATTATCTAAGATAGAGAGTGGGACGCTGTGGAGGGCTGATGTTTATGATGTTTTCTGTGTTTTTTTGCCATCTTTATATGTATTTCCAATGTTTCTTTCACACAATAATATCACTTCTTGTCCCTGAACAATCCTTTACACATACATAAGATATCATAAGATAGTTAGGGTGAAAATAAGGTGCATCTCTTAATCTTATATTATCTTATTTTTTTGAAAATTATGAATAAACCTGTTGCAAGTATTTTTTGATGTAGAATATGTTGACAATACCTTGAAGTAAAACATATCTCTCTCTTCCAAACCATGTTTTCCTTGATATATCAGCGTAAACTAGGTGTTTCGTGAAAAGAGCTGTGTATTCTAAGTGATTGAGCTGCATACACCTCGCAAGGAAAATTAAACTAAACCATTTCCAATATCAGGTTGATAATTGCACCAGCAAAGGACAGGTTAAACTTATGTTGCAAAATCCTCTGGAGAAATACGCATGCCAATCCCAAACTCTTCAATAGAAACAAGTAGGCTTGGAATCAGAAGGACCCCTAAAACAAACTCGAAGAATCCAACCTGGAAAGTGAGGGTAGGTTAGGGTCAGGCCTTATAATCAATGACATCCCTATCACAAGGCACCATGGCAATGCATACAGCATCTCATTCTTCTCCAACATTGAGACTCTAAATTCTTTCATCTACTGTTCATGTCATGCTAAAGCATGTTTGTACCCAACCCAACCATCTAAATATATAATCGAATGTATATATAATGTTACAATACTAGTTTGGATTTATGAAATACACTGAAATATATTGGTTTCAACCTGATCCATAGCATAAACATTCCAAGAACTTGGCCCCAAAAAAAAACAAATCGAATTCTCCTGGTATATAACAAGGCTTTTACCCTTTCCTTGTGCATATTTCTCTAGTAAACCAGGAATGCAAATAAATCAAACAGGGAGCTTGGAATCTCCAATACAATCAGTGCAATCTGGCAGCCCACAGAGACATTGCACACATCACTGTGTTCAAATCAAGCATGCCTATGATAGAGAATACCCGTGCCAAATGTTGAGGTATGCAGTTGTCCTTCTTAGTTTGTAGGCTGGCAAAATGGTTGCTAGATAATATGGAAATAATTTTGAAAGATACTGTCCATAGCAACACCTATGGGGATATCCTTTGGCTAATGCAATTAAGATATTAATATTGCCAAGGATGTATACAGTTATGGCAAGGAGCAGACCTACAATAGTCAGATGAGGCTAGGGCAAAAATTCAAAGTGCATCCTAATATTGCATTGTCATTGGAAAAAGGTGGAATTTGACGCATTTTTGGGAAAAAATGGCTTGGCTAAACCAATATGATAATGTGGTTATAACTATCCTTGGAAGTTTTAGTTCTGATTGATGGCTGCCAATCATTGCCACGAAAATGATACATAGAAAAGAAAAAATGGTAGCATTATTTCTCTGTATCTTTAATGATATTAATCATCACTGTTCATTCAGAGTTTGACTAAGTTGTCCGCACTTCGAATGAGGGTATATTGGTAATACCAATACTATTGAGGAAATATATATATATATTGCAGATATTTTTAAGATTACTTGCGCAGAAAGAACATATTCTGCTTTTTAGTGACTTTTCAAAACACCGTAAAGATCAGCCCTCCACAACGTCCCTTTCTGCTAAGATAATCGCGCGACATCAGCCCCAAAACTGTTTTGCCAAAATGTGGATTCAGATCCAACAAGCTGGATATATATATATACATATTTATATTATACGTGTATATGTATATATATACACCCTCTGGTAAACTAACATGACTATGGAAAATCACCATGTTTAATGGGTAAATCAACTATAAATGACCATGTTCAATAGCTATGTTAAATTACCAGAGGGTACATTGTGCACATTTTTTCCCCCTGTCGCCTCGAAAGAAAATTCAGGACGATGGCACGAATGAAACGTCGAAATCCGCGAAGCCAATGGAGCTATTTAAAGCAGCAAGCCGTCGACTTGACACCAGAGGATAAATCCATTGATAAATTTTGCTATATCCATGATTCCATTCATAATATCCATATCCTATTCATATGCCATGAAAAATCTGCCCTAAATAGTGCCACTATTCATGATCCCATGAACATATCCCATTATCAGCCATGAAGCATCATCCCCGGTCGCCCGGTCCATGTGGTCAGCAGATGCATTGAAATGATGAAATGGGGGTTCTGGGTGTGCGTGCATATATATATATATGGGTAAATTGCGGTAAGTTATAACGATCTCACTGCGACCTCACTGAAATGATGGTTGGTAGGGTAACTTTTCCCAAATAGCTATAAGTTACCAAGGTATGTATTTATATATATATAGTTATATATATATAGCGCTGCCGGTCACACCTCCACGTGGTCAGCGCGGGCCCGGATGCTGTTGACGTTCGGGTACGGAGTGGCTCTACACTTAGATCCCTTCCTGAGTCTTGCCTCATTAGTTGTACTTGTTTGGAAGGACAAGAAATATCAAAAGCCCAAAAAAAAAAGGAAAAAACAAAAAAAGAAGAAAAAATCACGACTACGACGAAAAATCAAATAAAACATGAAGAATTCAAAGTTCATTTGTGCAAATCAATTCAAGAGCTCAAGAGAGGCTGTGGGCGGCCCGGTCTGTTTCTTTTGTTACTACTAGGCCTGCTTCTGCCCACTGCATCTGCCTCTGCTTCTGCTATTGCCCAAGATGATGTCAGTCTGGATTCGTACTTCTCAGTCCAGCCCATTGTCGGGCACCAAAGCTTCCTCGTGGGAGCTCCCAATCCGGCCGCTTGGGGCGGCGCTGTGCCATGGTACTCTGCGAGCTCTGGACAATTCAGCCTCCAATTAGGGAATCCCTTTGGCAACTGCACCGCGCTTTGGGCAACGCAATTTGCTGTTGCTGAGTGGAGCCACGCTTGCGGCCTTTTTGCGCAGCAGGCGGACAATACTTTGAGCAGTGCTTGCGGCTTTGCTGAGCTACTGGCCGGGGTTGAGGACTGCTATGTCACTTTTGCTGCAGTGCCTCGACACAATCTTTTTTGGGGCATGTTTGGTATTTACCTCGTTGCCTGTTTCACCATGTTACATCTGGGGTGTCCGCGACGCAAACGACGTAGGGGCGCCCGCGTATGTAACAAACAGCTTCCCAGGACCCATGATTTATGCACACTCAAAGGTCCGAGGAATTGTAGACGCATCGGTCACATGCGTAAAAAACACGCGCGCCTGCTTTCCCGAAAAAAGCGCACTGGTTTGTTTCAGCATCGCAGGCTTGACAAGCGCATGGATCGGTTCCAATCTTTCATGCAGCGCAAGCAACGCGGCATTAGCAAAGAAGCCACTGACAATCCTGATCACTTTGACCTGGTCTCACCTGAAGACAGATTCTCTCGTCATCGGTTTCAGGGCTTGGTCCATCACAGGATGAATAAAAGAATTGCTAGCTTGCACGTCGACTGTTGCCTTCAAGACGGACCAAGTTGGTCAACCCGGGCAAAGTGGTTGGCCAACCTCCCTATTTCGGGAGGTGCAGCCGGCAGTGCAAGTACAAAACGGAAAAAACGCCAACAACAAGGAACGCACCAAAATCTCATGAGAACTTTGATTCATGGTCTCAAAACTTGTTTGAACCAAGGTGGGGGAATCCAAGCTTTGGTTGATACCCTTAGTTCTTTGAGCCCCCCGAAGAAAAAGACTAAGCTCCAAAAGAAACGG